TGTGTGTGTGTGTGCGCGCATGTAATCTTTGGCAGGACTCAGCTGCCATACTCGTCCTTCGGTGCATGCCATCTTGCTTCTGACAGCATGTTAACAGAGCCGTAACAAAGCAGAAAGCACAACAGTGCTGGGGCTAATTGGTAGAGCCAGAGAGGACTGCCAGCGTTGCAACGAAATGTTTTCACCAACGCATTACTGTCCAATTATCGGCAGCATGGGGAGAAGGTGGGAGCACAGAAGAAACAGACAGACAGAGGGGAAGACAATAAGAGAAAGTAGAAATTGCACGCAAGCTAAGGATAGAAAAGCTAACGTTAAAGAAGGTGGAACGGTAAAAGCAAAGAATAAGAGAGAAAATAAACAATATGTGTGTGTCAGAGAGGGAGAGAAAGGGAGAATGACTGTTATGTGGAAATGTGTAAATGCATTTGTTTGAGCTTGTAAGCCCATTTTGAATGTTGAGGGTCTCAGCCTTCAAAGTGCAGTGGTCCTTTTGAAATCATACATTCATCTGACACTCTCCCACACTGCTATGCAGCAGGAAAAAATGTCATTCATACACTCTCTTGAGAGCGAATAACCTTTCTAAAATCTCCTGACGGAGGTTTGCTGCCATCTTGTGGTGGAAAATGTAATATAAACCCAAATTATTAACACATTTTCATGTTTTGAAGGATTGCATGATAATTTTTTATTCTTAATGTGTCGTGTGTGTACTGTATCTAGATGTCTTTGACAGCTGCAATATTAAGAGATGGAGCCTCCATTAGCCTTTAGAATTTAGGAGCATATTTTCATCATCAAAAGCTCAGAAGAGCTACTAAATGGTCCTTGTGGTTAATGTTTTTAAACTGCCATTTCCAGGATTAAGGATTGACTTTAAAACTTAGTTCTTAAGCCAGAATGAATTAGAAATCCTTAAAAGTGTGTGTAAAAAATTAAAATCTGACGTCACATTTGACAAACAGGCAAACTCTTATCTGCTGATCAAGATCATGTGATATGGCCCTAACCCTCACCCAATGCTCCAGAACAGCTAATAAATGGACCTTGTGGTGAGATTATTTTCTCAACTTCAGAATTTAGCTATGACTGAACAGTTTCAACTGTTTTCTTCTCCTTCTTCTTTTCTTGTCTTTCTTGTTCTCCTTGAAAACATCACTGGCCTTTGTGAGAGCACCACGTGTTCATACGTGTATTAATATAAATAATAGGCACGGAATATCTAACTGTACATGTGAGGGCCAACCTTTGAGAGCTGTGCAAACAGATGTGACCAGCACGGGCTTATATGTGTGCTTGTTTGTGTGTATATGTGTGAAACAACTATGGTTTAAGCCTTGTGGAGCACTGGCAAAAAAAAAATAATTTAAAAACAGCAACAAAAGTGTCACACTGTTCTGAATTGTAAATGCGCGCCGTATTCCATTTTTTACATAATGTCATCAATCATATGTACAAGTACAAACAATAATGCAGGACCACCCATGGGTCAGTCAGTGGGATTCAGCATTCCTCCCATTATTTATAATATGATCAGCAGTGTGTGTAAGAAATACTGAGAGTGATGGTATATATGAATATGCCAATGTGTTTCTTACCCCAGCAGAGTGGACCATACATTTAGGAGCTCCTGTGGTGCCGGAAGAGTACATAATAAACAGAGGATGACTGAATGGAAGCTGCTCAAACTCCAGCTGAGGAAACTGGTCACCCTCACCACGCCCAGATGCTAAGAAATCATCTATAAATACACTGCGGAGATTAAAAAAAACAAAAAAAACAGAAAAACCAGTCAAAGAGGAAATTAAAGAAAAGATTTAGACAATATATGGGGAATAGAGTATATCTCTGACCTTCACTCTGCCACACAAAGTTCTCAGTTTTAATACATCAGTGTGGTTGTATTGGCAGACACGCACCTGTTAGGGATCTTGGAGAGGTCGGTCTCATGTTTGGAGCGAGCATAGGGAATCACCACTACTTTCTTCAGGTCAGGCAGACCTAGAGAGAGAGAAAGAGATGGGTGTTTCGTTTTCTTTCCTCAATCTATAACTTTATGAGAAGCCAGGGGCTCAAAGATGCTTAGAAACTCTCTGAACACTCCTGTGGTAGCAGATAAAGAAATCCTTTTTCATACTTTACATCTATCCAGCATCTGTTATGCATTCATTCTTCCAACAGCTTAATTCTGAACACTTGCAAAACCCAGTGGAGCTAGTCAATTCTTACCCTGAATATCTCTTTCTATTTGTTAGCAGAAATTCCTTCTAATTTTTAACTGCAGGAAAGAGACCAAAACCTCTTTAACAACATCAACAAACTTGTCTTACAAGTCTTACCAACCACTAGGTGAAGAGGCAAATGTATTTGTTGTTAATAATGAATTGATAGTAATCTTGGAGTAAGAGTGGACACATAAAGGACCAGTGTGTAGGATTTAGTGGCATCGAGAGGTGTAGTTGCAGATTACAGCCCCCACACCTCACCCTCTCGTTCCAAGTGTGTAAGGGAAACTACAGTGGCCATGAAAAATGCTCTATCTAGAGCCGGTCTTTGGTTTGTCCGTTCTGGGCTAAACATGCCAGTTGAACATGGTAACCTCAGTAGAAGAGGTATGTAGAGAAAAATGTTCATTCTAAGGTAACGGAAACACAACAATTCTTATTTTCAGGTGATTATACACTAATGAAAACATATCTTTGATTATTATATTCCATTTCTGACAATAGATCATCCTCAATGTAACACACTGGACCTTAAAATCAAGTAATCAACAGGGGAAGTTTTATATCCATTAGTTAAACGTTTACCCTGTTTATTCACCTGTAGTATCTCCTCTTAATATTTTTTCAGGGACAGCTGTGTTGTGCACATCTTCACAGTTTCCCTTCTTTTGCAGTCCAAGCAGACAAGCTAGTAACCTTCAGAAAACCAGCATAGTGACACCTTTGGCTGTCTTCGTCAATCACATAACTGTTGCCTTGCAGGTTGTTGCAACACATCGAGTCTCCCATACATTGGCATCAAGAACATAACATAAACTCATGATTTCCTATTTTATAGCCCATTGTTGAGTATAGCTGAGTAAGATAAACCCAATATCTGCTCATTACAAATGATCTGATTTTCATAAAGTTTAGTGTGATATTCTCTCCACATACACACAAACATCAACTAGAGGAAACAAATACAGTAAACTGATGATAGCCTACTGTACAGGGCATTTTATTCACAGGAAAATGCTTGAGGCAACCATAAATATTGACATTTACTGCGGTGACTCACACAACAAGAAACATATCTACCAACTACTAGTTACCTTTACTTGCATCTGCCTGCTATTAGTCCTGTGCTCGCTTTGCTCTATGTGACAAAGAGACAGTGTGGGAGGTGTGGTTCCTGTTTGTTTTGCAGCAACAGGATACTTGGATGTAGTATATATATATATATATAAATATTGTCTGAGGAGCTGTTTTAAAACTTGTCTATTTGTTTAGAGCAAAGAACTTTAGTGTGGTATAACTGACTGACCAAAGCTACTGGTTTAACAGTCTGCCCTACTGTTTTGTATTTGGACTACAGAACAGGCTATAAAGATATATTACAAAGCCAAAAGTATGCAGACAGCTATATGTGATAGCTGAATGTGTGATTCTGACAACATGGGCATTAAAGCTGCAGTAGGTAACCTAAAAATAATACAAAATAATATTTGTTCGTATTTGCTGAAACGTTCACTATATACTGACAGGAGTACATGAGACACTGAAATCGGGTTCCTCTGGCTCCTCCTAGTTCGGTGGCTGACAAGGGCAAACGCGCCGCAAACGGGCCAATGCACCGCAAACGGCAAAACGCTGCAAACACGGGAATGATTC